CTGACCTGACCAAGGTAGGTCATAATGCATTTATAAGCATTTGTTTTAATCATATTCAGTCTTGCAGAGGCCAAATTTTCAGATTTACATGCAGCCCCTACTGGCAGAGAGAAAGAAACTGAACACGTTAAAGAGGGTAAACCCAAAAAAGAAAAAAGAATCAGCAACCAAAAAGAAAAAGGAAAAAAAAAGTTGCTGTCTCCTCTAGCGGAGTTCTGCTACCCCCGACTCCTGGTTTTATTTAAGAAGCCCACTGCCTTTGAAAGTACACTGGGTCTTTTCAATAGCAGAAGATCAAATGATGTTAATCAGGCCGTGGGGCCTAATCCTTTAATGCAACTGTCTCTCTGCATTATAAGCATTCCAGCTCTGGAGGCTGGAATGATTTTTATCTTAGCTTCCTTTTCTTCCTCCTCCCTCTGCCTCTCCGTCCTGAAACCCTGAGTTTGGACAATCAATACGGAATATCCTTTCTTCTACTTTCCTTGAGACATCCTCAGCGGACAATTTATTATCTTGTCTCATTAATGAAAAATGACAAGAAGGGCCAGGCCGTCCACCTCTCTCTCTCCTCTCTCTTCTCCGCCTCATTCACGCTTGGGCTTGCTCATCCTAGTCCACGTTTTAGCGGGAAAAACCACATCCTCATAGTTCGGGCTTCTCCCTGCTCATCACCTCGGCTGTCTCAGAATGGTTCTGCTTGATGGATTGGGTCGCACTCACCACAGATGTGTTTGCAGCTGTTATCAATAGCTTCTCTCGAGGCAGTCTTTTCCTCGGGAATAGCACGACGCTCGTTTGCATTCTGCAGTACATTTATAAAGCCCGAAGAGGCCCAGATTGTGATGGGAAGGTTTCTCCACATGGTCCTCAGATATCTGACCTGCATCCTGCTGAAACCAGGCTAGACCTCTATGGGAACTGAGAGGCACTAGGGATGTGACAATTAAACATGTGGAGGTAAGTCGTCACTTGAAGCCTTGTCCGGGTTACAGCCTCTCTCTCTCCACTGAGGTGCTAAGATGCCTGTAGCAGAATGCCAGTGTTTGGTAGAGAATAGCTTATTTCTTAGGAGAAAGGTGGACATGATCCCACAAAATTGGCCAAACTCAGTATGATTTCTTGATCTTTTTATTCCTAATATGCAAGTAAGTTTGGCACATGGCAGACACTCCAATTCTTGAAGTCTGGTTTTGTTCACAAGTTTTGTTTTGTTTCGTTTTGTTTTTTTAAATCAGGGGGAAGTTTTAGGGAACTGAATTTTCTTTTACCCGAATAGGAACCATGTAACGGAAGCCTAGTCAGAGGTGGGGTGGCAGACAGACAGGAAGGCTCTGGCTCTGGAGGCTTTCGAGCATTCACTGGGGATGCTGGTACACCCACTGCAGAGATGACCAGCGCTCTGAGTCAGATGAAGATTCCAACGCTGTCTTTTCATGACTACGAAGGGGTTCCTGATCTGCAGAGTATCAGATGCATCCCACTAGATCAGTGTAGGGAAGAGAATCCTCACACTTTGCTCCCTCTCCGAATTCTGTATTAAACTTGAGCTGTGGTTCACTAAGCCCCAAATTGCAGTTTGTATTTCGTTTGGGTTTTTGTTATTACGGTTGGTTATATTACCTTGGAAGTTCACTGAGAACGCTATGGGTGTTTGCTGCACCAGGGCTACAGCTCCTAGGTCCTTAAAACTGAATTCCTCCTACCTAAAGACCCACCACCTCAGCACAACAGATTGGAGTTTAAACTACCAAATCCACTTAACTAGGGCACACAAGAGAATTGTTATCTCTCTTAAGATTACTCGCTCTCCTCCATTTTAATTCTGAATTGAGTTTGTCATCCAGAGCGACTTTTTTGTGGCTTTATTTATTTACACTTACGAACACATGTCGCTGCTTAAAAAAAAAGGAATGAAGTAATGCGGGAAGAATCCAGGGCCCACAGGAGGTTGGCCCCTCAGCTCTTCTGCGGGCCTCTCAGCGTTTCTACAGCGATCTTTTGGTCAAGGGCGCCATCTCTCAGCAAGACACCAATGTTGCCTCCTGCAGCCAGAGTACAGCCAGCGTAAAGAAACCACCGCCTACAAATACTTCCTTTCATAGCATACTGGAGAAGCTCCTGAGTTGTACAGCGTCGTGTTTTGATGGAGGCCACTGTGGCTGCCTCTGAGTACTGAAAAAAAAAAAAACCTGGTTTTTCTGTATTTTTACACTATCTGTGAAATCCGTTTTTGAAAAGGATAGTTGGCAGTGGTACTCTTTTAGTCTGGATCAATCATAACATTTTTGGATGCTTTATTGAATAAGTTTCCAAACTTTATTCAGGCTATGAATTATTCCTCATCGTTTTAGGAGTTCTGCTTGGCCTCTCTTCTTTAGAGTAAGGAATCTGTGCTTCACAGTAGAGCAGTGGCTTCATGTAAGTCCCCCACTCATGTCAGAGCCATTGACTCCCACCTGGGGTCTGTGGGTGAGTGACTCTTTCCCCAACTTGGGCTCTACATTCTATAACTTAGAGGGTACCAGAATAAAATAAAAATGGGACTATCTGAAAATGGATTGTGATGTCCTGGACTGTGTCTGAATGAAGTTTTAATCTTTTTTATATGCAGCAGCTTCTGTAACATACGAAGTTACAGGTGCTGATTTCTATATAAACATAAATCACTGTGCAAACCTCCTCAGCCCCATAAAGTGTTTGAAAAACATTCTGGACCATTTGTAAGGAAGTTAAAGCAATGTAGGATGGACACCTGGTATATTAGACTTCCATACACTTTTTCTAAATATAATGACAAAGGAGTGGTGTTGAAAGGTAAGCTGATAAAGACGCAAGCCTTCAGGTTCAAGTCCAGCATCAGAATCAAATTAGTTTTGTGACTTAACCCAAGTAATCTCCACTCTCCCTGGGGGGAGAGTTTGTGCATACAAGTGTGTGTGTGTGTGTGTGTGTGTGTGTGTGTGTGTGTGTGTGTGTGTGTGTGTGTGTGTGTGTGTGTGTTGGGAGACAGGCATGGTGGTAAGACAAAGTGAAAAATTCCTTCCTCGTGGGATTGTGGTCAGCATCAAACTCAATAATGTACTTGAAACTTCTTGGACACATAAATTCAATTTATCTCAATATACAACAGCCAGAGCGTTTCTCCCGCTCCCGGGGAAAGAGACTGAGCTCCATGATCTGTCACTTCGGATGGAACCTTGGCTTCTAACAGCTGTGTGACATCTGCTCAGCTGGAGAAGATGCCTACGCTTGGAGTCCTGAGGGACACCAGTCCACAGCTCTTTATGTTCTGTGATCTGTGGAGATGGTGCACAGTGTTCACACAGGTGCCCACCCATAGCCGATCTGTGGAAATGGTGCACAGTGTGCACACAGGTGCCCACCCGTAGCCAGTCACCTTATTTTCACGGCCTGAGCTCTCCTTTGTGTGAAGTAAGAAATCTTGAAGAACAGGGACATTATTCGAGTCTCCTTCACCTACTGTCAAAGCAAATAATGGAATGTGTTGTGAACTAAAATCTTCCCCAAGGATTCCCAAGTGTGAAGGCAAAGCCCCAAGAATTCCTTCTTTTTATTCTCTCCACTCACTCGCTTCTGAACAAAAGCCCTCTGAGAAATACTCAATTCTGAGAAAAGGGTTGGCTTCTGGGTGACTTCCAGACTGTATATAAACCTACACTGTCTGTGCTTCCTTCCTTCCTTCCTTCCTTCCTTCCTTCCTTCCTTCCTTCCTTCCTTCTTCCCTTCCTCCCTTCCTTCCTTCTTTCTCTCCTTCTTTCCTTCTTACTTATTTATTTTTTTTATTGTGAGACAAAGTCTCACTACGGAGCCACTGTGCCTGGCAGCCTACACCTTCTGCACTAGTTTACACTCTGTAAACTTTACGGGAATAATAATTATATCAAACGTATGTTTTCCATTTGCGTTATAAGCTGGTCCGTGTGCTCTGTCTGCACTTTTAGATTGTGAGCATTATGAAGGCTGCACTCTCTGCTCTCACTGTGCCCAATAGTCAAGCTACATGCATGATCATGAAATGTCATGACATTAGATAAACACGGGCCATTGGTGCCTCTTCTGCTTCATTATTTCTCCAAACTCATTGTCTTTGTTCACAAAATAAATGCAAGTCACCTGTAGAGTTTCTGAGAGTCTGGGAAGCCTATAGCATATACTAAGCTTTCAAAAGAATGCTAAGTAGTATTTCTCTTCAATTATGTTAAGAGCTGGGTGATGATGGTGCACACCCTTAAACCCAGCACTCAGGAGGCAGAAGCAGGAGGATCTTTGTGAGTTTGAGGACAGCCTGGTCTACAAAGCAAATTCCAGGATAGCCAGGATGTTACATGTAGAAACTCTGTCCCAAAAAATAAAAATATTAAATTATATATCTATAGCTATCTATAGCTATCTATCTATCTATCTATCTATCTATCTATCTATCTATCTATCTATCTATCTATCTATCTATCTATCTATCTCTATCTCTATATCTACCTGTTAAGATTATGACCACTGTGGCCACTTTCGTCTGTGTGTTTATCCCTAAATACTGGCCCATATTCCTAAGGGTAAGTCAAAAACAGGAAAGAAGAATGATAGAGGATGAAGAAGGAAGAAAGACAGAAGCACGGTGAGAGTATAAATATTTACTCAATCCACATCAGCAAATATAGCCAGCCGGTGGTGGCCCACATTTTTAATCCCAGCATTTAGTAGGCAGAGGCAGGTGGGTCTCTGTCTACAAAGCAAGTTCCAGGACATCCAGAGCTGTTACACAGAGAACCCCTGTCTCGGAGTGGAGGAATGGGGTGAGGGGAGTCAAATCAAGAAACATAAGATGCTTAATGTAGCTCATGGTTCAGAACTGAGAAGAAAATGCTAATGAGATGGTGCCACCTAGTGGTTGATTCTCAAAGCTACAGGTAGTTTCTTGGTAACGCCCTGAAAATTGCCTCCAATTTATTCCTTTCTGTGTTTTTGAGTAGCTGGAAAGATGAGCACGGTGCTTTCCGGTGCATGACTTGTTCCCACATCCTGTCTCTATCTCCTGACACTGAGAGGGACTGTGGACAGCACAATACATTCATCAGTGCCTAGAGATTTCCTATTACCTTATGCTGTTAGATCATCTCTGTGCATTTTCATTGGTGACGACTCAGCAGTTAATGTATTAATCAACCTCAATGAGCACAACAATGAGATTCTTTTGGACGTTTGCAGGTTTAAACGTGACCTTCACGACCAGTCAGAATTCTGTTTCCCCATCTGAAAAGGTAGATCATTGTTACAGAAGCTTAAGGAAGAATTGTTCATCGTGAGGGGGTGATGGTGAACCCCACAGCTGAAAACTATGACCTTTCTAACTCGGTGCTGTTATGTAAGGAACCTCAGAGCGGTTTACAAACAAATGATTCAGTCTTGAATACCCGAGGAAGAGAAAAGTGGGTAGATTCAGTTATCCCTGTATTATTCATTCACAGGTCTGTAATGAAACCCACGAAGAGAAAACTATGTATAGACCAGGAGGAAGAAAGGCCAAACACCGGCGTGGTAAGTAGTGTGATCTTCCAGTGTGAGGATGTTTTCTTGTAAGGCTAGACTTTGGGAGTTAAAAGGCACTTTCCACATTAGCTGGTCTGGCTCCTTTCATAGGCTGTAAATAACTCTATGCTTATCTATCTTTTGTGTCTGTGATTTTTTTTGTGTTTTAACCTTCATTGCTTTGTTTGGCTTTGTTGCAAGAGAGGTCTGGATCTATTAACAAGTCAGGTTGTAAAACACCTTCTACAACGTGTCATTTATTGGGGGAGAGTGGGCCTGGGAGAGAATTAGAAGCAGCTGAGAGCTCCTGCAGGCCCATTGCTACTCCTGTTTTAAAGGCAGTTTAAAAGCTCCAGTGGAAAGAGAGAACGCGAAGATGCAGAAAGTTAAGACCAGATGTTGCTCAGCTATGGCACTGGCTGAGACGGCCATTGGCCTTGGAGACAAGAAAGAACCATTCTGGTAGTCTCACATGCTTCGTCTCCTACTTCCTACGTCCCCAGTATCACCAGGGAATGGGAGAAGAGAAACACATTAATGGCACTCCTGCATAACGTAGGCATGTAGAAATTCCATGGCTCTTGGGTCAACCACATCTGTTCTTAGAGAAATGATTGGTTTTATTCACTACATTTATATTTTTGAGCTCCTTACCTAGACCACTCTGAAATTACTGATGGCTGACACCTTCGTATAATCACTTGGCCAAGGTGATTCTCTCCCTCAAATGGATCTCTGCTATGGAATAATCTTTTTATACACAGTCAATGTATGTCTTTGCCAAGACACCTTCTGATTGGTTTAATGAAAGAGTTGACTGGCCGGTAGTTAGGCAGGAGGTATAGGCAGGACAGTAAGACACAGAGGACATTGGGAGGAATGAGGGCAGAGTCAGAGGAGTCATAGACAGAAGAGAGAAGCAAAGGAAGATAAACATGCTGTGCTGAAAGAAGGTACTGCCACATGGCAGAATGTAGATGAACAGAAATGGGTTAATTTAAGTAGTAAGAGTTAGTTAGTAACAAGCCTGAGCTATTAGCCAAGCACTTATAATTAATAAGTCTCTGAGTAGTTATTTGGGAAGTGGCTGATGGAACAGAGCTGATCTCAGTCCTGACAAAAAAACTCTGCCTACAGATCTCCTTTCTACATCTACAACCATCTTATCCTCACTGTATATAGAGGAGCACCCTGTTAGTTTCTAGATTCTAGGAATATAAGATAGCTCAAGCAGTATCTTCTCCCAATACATTGTGTGTATCATATCAACATGATAAAACTTCCCAAGAAACATTTCAAGAACTTCAAAACATACTTCAAAAAAAAAAATAGGTACTTTTTCTGTGAATTTGTAGTTAGCCATTTGATTTTCTAATCTCCTAATTTTCTAATACTTCAAAAGGAAAGCAGTGTCCATGAGCTGTACTTGACTTGACAGCAGTTATGAACTTAAAGACTTGTCTTTTTTAATTATGATGAACCAAGTACTCATGACACGGCTATGTCTTTGCATCCCTAAAGGAAGTTCTCGGTGATGCAGATCAATTCCCCCAATATAATGTATTCATACAACGAAGAGATGCAGGAGATTCTGCTGGCAATTCATGGCACACATTTTGTGACAAGCTTTTTTTATGAGTAGGAAGAGAGCAAGGACATTATGCAAAATATGTAAGCCAGTAACACAGTCATTTGTTAGCCTTATCAAGTGTTACGGACTGTACATCTTTGCATTGGAATACCTGCATGATTGCCTGTGCTGTAGATGCATATACACTGGAACTGCCACCGACATATAAGTAATTCATTGTACTATGACCTGCTATGGTAGTTAGTGTAATTGCAGAGTCAACGTAATATAGCATCGCCTGGGAAGGGAGTTTCAATGAGGTATTTTCTATAAGGTTGGCTTGTGAGCATGCCAATGAGGGGGTCTTCTTTTTTTTAAATATATTTTTAGATTAATATAATTACATCATTTCCCCATGCCTTTCCTCCCTCCAAACTCTCTCACATACCACCCCCTTGCTCTCTTTCAAAGTTACGGCTCCTTTTTCTTCAACTATTGGTGGTGGTGGTGGTAGTGGTGGTGGTGGTGATGGGTGGGTGTGTTCCTAAATACATAAATACAACTTGCTCAATCTGCATAATGTTAATTATATATATATATATGTGTGTGTGTGTGTGTGTGTGTGTGTGTGTGTTTTCAGGGCTGGCAGTTTGCTATTGGACAACCAGTTGGTGTGCTCTTCCCTAGGGAAGACTTTTTCCTGCCCTCAGCTTTCCTTGGTTGCCTCTAATTTTTTGTCTAGGGTCGAGGCCTCAGGAGCTTTCTCCCTTCCACATTAGCATGTCTATTGGCGTCCTCTTGTTCAGATGATGTTTGTGGAGCCATATTGGTGAGACTTTATGGGTGTAGCTTCTAACATCTCTAGGAGGCATAGTCTCCCAGCAAATTCCCTGTTTCTCGGGTTCCTTCAGCCAAGTGCCTGGTACAAACTAAGTGTTCTTTAAGGAAAGAAGTCGTCATTACTACACCGATACATCTTACATACTCTCCCCTGAGTTCTCTTCCCCACTTCTGTAACTCCAAAGTAACTGCTTAAATGCTTTGTATTTTAGTTTTAACACTGTGCAGGTTTTATTTGTTTGTGTGGGTGAGTGGAGCTGCCTGTGGTGGGTCTAGGATTGAGCTTAGGGCTTCTCCTGGCTCTGTAGTTTTAGTAGCATCTCCATCCATCTCTTTTCTCTGTGTCAACCGCTCCTGCTACAACTGCAGTGTTCACCACGGCTATGTTCACCACTTGCCGTTTTTGATGCTTGTGGTTCTGTGCTCTGGTTCACTTCTCTTTTCTATCATTCTTCTGCAGTTCTTGGCTTGTGTGCCGATGTGGTTTGCCTTTTATGATCTCATAAGATATTGATGTGGCTCCTTTTCTTCTGGACATCAAACCAGGAGAGCATTAAGTGACGAGTGTCTTGTTGGGCCACATCCAACTAGGATTTGGCTTTGATGGTTTGAAAGCTCAAAGCTCCAGATTTGCATTTTCCCTGGTTTTCACATTTAAAGCTTTTCTTACTTTTTAATACTGTAAGTTCCACGCCATTCCAAATGCATATGATTCCTGGAGTTTGGGCCTCTAAGGTAACTAGGATTTGCTGCAAAACCCTTGCTTATAGACCAGTTCTTTATCAGAGAGCTACTCTTTACTCACCTAGATTCCTAGAATAGCAACAATTACTGCATCCCCTTGACTTGGAGGGAAGGAAGAAACACTCCAAGTTATTGAAAGGTAGACGTTAGCAGGAAACTTCCTCATTTAATAGAATGTATTCTACATATGATAGTTGTCCCCTCTCTGCCTGCAGGTTTTGAATCCACAGATTCATTCAATTAAGGATCAAAGATACTTGAAAGGTGGCTGGGGAGATGGCTCAAAGCATATAGTGCTCACCAGGAGAGCATGAGGAGCGGTGTTCACATCCCTAGAACCCATGTAAAAGCAAGGTTGGCATGGTGGCCATCTGTAATCCTAGCACTTGAAAGGAAGAGATAGGAGGATTCTAGAACAATCTGAATAGCTAAACTAGACAATGGATGGGCTCTGAATTCAACTGAGAGAGCCTGTTTCAGTAAAGACATTCAAGGCCTCCACACACATTTAAGTACATATACACATGAGTACATGCTACACACTTATACACACAAAAAATACTGGGGAGGCAAAGGCAGGAGGATCATCACAAATTTTAGGCTAGCTTGGTTTTTCATAACAACTCCAAGTCAGCCAGGGCTACATAACAGGAATTATTATTATTATTATTATTATTATTATTATTATTATTATTTCTGGCTTTTTGAGACAATCTCTCTACAAAGCCCAGGCTGTCCTAGAACTCACTATGTAAACCAGGCTAGTGGCAAACTCACAGAGATCTGCCTGCCTCTGCCTCCCAAATCCTGGAATTAAAGGCATGAGTCACTACACCTGGCCCAAAGAATCTGTTTCATAAAAGCAAAACATCTGAACGGAAGCATTCCATGTGCACTAAGCATGTTTAGACTTTTTCTCGTCATTATTCTCTAAGTCACACAATTCAGCTATTTACATAGCATTAAGTATTAGAAATAATGTGGGGATGATTTCAATCTTTTCAGAGGTTACACATAAACACATACCCATATCCATCTCACATTGTGGAACAATCCTTTTGTACACTGTGAAGAAGTGTCATTCTGATTGGTTTAATTAAAAAAAAAAAAAAAAAGAAGACCAAATAGCTGGGTAGGATTTCCAGGCACAGAGGATGCTGGGAAGAAGGGTGGGGATGAGAGGATATGCCAGGGGCACGGAACAAGCAGTCTGGGCATTACAAAGTAAAGGTAACTGAGTCAGGTAAAAGAACACAGATTAAAAGATATGGGTCAGTTTTAGTTAGAAACAAGCCTAGTTATCAGCCAAGTTTTCATAATTAATAATAAATCTTTGTGTGATTATTTGGGAGCTGGCAGGCAGGACAGAGAAAAACTGGCTACAATTTCAGGTGAAGTATTTGTGAATCATGGATTTAGGTATCCACAGAGGCCCTTGGAACTAATCTCCCATGGATGTTAACTACTCAATGTAGCTGGAGTTTTCCTGCCTGGCCCACAGTCAGGACAAATCTCTGTCACCCGCCAGTCCCACAGCCACTCAGACCCGACCAAGTAAACACAGAGACTTATACTGGTTACAAACTGTATGGCCGTGGCAGGCTTCTTGCTAACTGTTCTTACAGCTTAAATTAATCCATTTCCATTAATCTATACCTTGCCACATGGCTCGTGGCTTACCGGTATCTACACATTCTGTTTCTCATCGTGGCGGCTGGCAGCGTCTCTCTGACTCAGCCTTCCACTTCCCAGCTTTATTCTCCTCCTTGTCCCGCCTACACTTCCTGCCTAGCCAATGGCCAATCAGTGTTTTATTTATTAACTAATTAGCAACACATTTGCCATACAGAACATT